CCAGCTGATTGCCGCGGGCAGGAGGGAGGGGGGAGGAGCGAGGATGCGGCGCACCTCCCCCCTCCGTCCCCTGCTTCCTGCCCACAGCAATCAGCTGGCTTGCAGTGTTCAGGGGGCAGGGGAGGGAGGGGGAGCATGCGCGCCATGTCCTCCCCCCTCCCTCCTGCCTCCTGAACGCTGCAAGCCAGCTGATTGCCGCGGGCAGGAGGGAGGGGAAGGAGAGAGGACGCCACGTGCAGAGTAAAGGGGGAGGGGACGGGAGAAGAGGCGGGTTAATAGTGGGGGCTTTGGGGAAGGGGTGGCATGGGTGGGCCAAGGGTTGAGCCCCCCGCCCCTGGTGCTTGCAGAGTAGGGGAAGCAGCCACTGCTGCTGCGCAACATGCTTCTCCTAGCCTACAGCACCTTCAGCCTCCTTGTCTGCCTCCTTGTCTCCAGTGCCAGTGGGCTGTGCCTGTGTGGGGTAAGGCGGGGGCACCTCCCAACTATAGTACTGTACTGTATGGCAAAAAAATTTTTCCCTGGAACCAAACCCCTCCCATTTACATTCATTCTTATGGGGAAATTGGATTAGCTTAACATCGTTTCACTTAAAGTCACATTTTTCTAAGAACGTAACTACAACGTTAAGTGAGTAGTTACTGTGTTATTTACACTATTGTAGTGCCTCGACCAAGAAGGGAGGCTCAGTGTGCTGGCCACTGACAGTTCCTGCCCCCAAGAGCTTCCTTTGAGTAAAGGAAACAAGTAAGAGTAAAAAGGTTGTACAAAAACGCTCCCCAGAAACAAAGTTCAGTCATTTGAATTTTCTGTTATAGCTCTAATATGTAGCTTTATATTAATAATGTGAAATTCATTGCCTCTAAAAATAGCCTTTTCTCGTCATGCACAGATTAACATTTAGTAGAACTACATAAATGATTAAAAGAAATTGTATGATTAAGAATACCATAATTGGATGGAGCATGATGATCCAAGCAGCATGAGCTTCACCCGCATTGGTGGTAAAAATACCTTCCCACCAATGTAGAGATGTGGTTTCATCCTTTACTTTCTTAAGGATTCGTTTGATTTTATCCACCGAATGGTGGACCGTGAGAAGAGTCTTAAGACCTTCCGTTTTTAAGTTGTTGATATAATAGGTGAGCTGTTTACGGTGTCGTAATTTCTTGATAGCCTTTAAGTCAGCTCCAATATGTATAGGCTCTATGTAGTCGTATAGTCGATATTCAGACTGAATGACTTCTGACTCTAGGTCATGCAACGTCACATTTATATCACATACCCTTAGACTAGATACTTGACACAAACAAATATTTGCAGTAAAATTGTTGATTATATGGTAAAACCTATTTACAGTAAACATTGGACACAGACTTCTTACACATACAGTGTCTATCTACCTGCACTATGGCCGATTGGTTACCAAGGGAATGGTGGTGCAACTCGTAATTACATGTTCTTGACAAAGAGTTTAGGCACACATGGGTCTCCTCCCATATGCAGAGGTGCAAGTATATCCCAACCCTTTCTGCTCAGTACAGGCTTGTACATTAATGGGTTTATACTCTTTCCCCTTAAGATGCACCCATTTACTTTCTTCCACAAAGGTACCATTAGGGATTGGTTGGCAAAAATTCCTAGCGGAACGAGAGGATAGATGTTTTCCTCAACAGCTAACCTTAAGGTGAGTACAAGGGCTATAATAGTCTCAATATGGTGAAATTAATGAGTCTCCACCATTCATGATGCCTTTTCTCAAATTCATTAGAGTTATTTCCGATTATTCTTTTTAACTCCAAAGGCATGTTTCCATTTAGGCCATCTCTTACAATTGATTTTGCAACACTTAATAACCATTGCTGGGCTTCCATACAGATAAGTGCCTCAGACAGATTTGATTGCAGGATGCCAAGAGCTCCCAATACCTGTAGGTGATCTTGTTCCTGAATATCCAACCAATAAGGGAGGATATTTACAATATTGAATTTGGTGGGTCCTAATCCCATCAGCACCGACGATAGTGGCTCAGAGAAGGTTGACATGTCATGACCTAGATCACCTATTCTTTTGGCAAGGAAGTTTTGATCGATGGTATTAATTACCCCAAGTCCAGCTCCTACTCCTCCAAGCACCTTTACTATCACATCCCTTTTCTTCCTTTGGCCTGGTCTACACTACGACTTTAATTCGGATTTAGCTGCGTTAATCCGAATTAATCCTTAACCCGTCCACACAACGGAGCCAGTTACTTCGAATTAAAGGGCACTTAAAATCGATTTCTGTACTCCACCCCGACGAGCGGAGTAGCACCAAAATCGATTTTGTTAATTCGAATTAGGGGTAGTGTGGCCGCACACCACCGAATTAATGTGGTTAAAATGAATGGGGTAGTGTGGCCGCACACCACCGAATTAATGTGGTTGAAAACCGAATTAATGTGCTTAGTGTGGCCGCGCACAATCGAATTTATACAATCTGTTTCCCAAATTCGAATTATCTAAATTCGAATTAATCTCGTAGTGTAGACGTACCCTTTGTTGTAAGGAGGATGGCAAGATTCCTTGTAGCCATGCTCTCCATCCCATTAATAAGGGCATCACAAAGGGTGCACACAGAAGATGTAGTGGAATGATAAAGATTTGAATAGGCATTATGATCTTCTTTAGGGCGAATTGAAGTTCAATAATCATAATTCTTGATACATCCTTTTTGACAACAAAAGGTCCCATGTAACTAGTTTGTGGTGGTGGAGCAATGGTCAATTTGAACGATGTTTTCAGTTCAAACAGGCCCTTAACAATCCACACCCCAGAGTGCAAAATACTAGTATTAACCATGAGAATTCCTGTGCAGGTGAGGTTGTATCATTTTACTGAGTCATCCAATTTGCAAAACTTAGATGAAACATAATTAGTCAAAGAGAGAGAACACTGATTTCTGCATACTTGACAGGATAGATTCATGATTAAATGTTCATTGGTATAAGGGGGTACCCATGTAATTTAATTGAGGTGGATTGAAAATTATGGTGATGTAGGCTAGAAGTAATATTTATAAAGCCTGGTGTTGTGGTAGAAGGTGCATTGGTTTTAAAATTGATACACTTGAATGAGTCCCAGTCCTTTATGTCCTGTGAACAACCTGTGAAAGGGGAAGGGTCCAAAATCCATACACATCCATTAGATAACTTTTTAATATATTTTAGCTTTCCAGTTGATTTAACACTGGGTCGTGTGTTCGATTGTTGTGTAGGGTGAATGACACCAGTGAGTTGTTGCCTTTATTCTCCTTTATAACTAAATAACAATACCTTTCCATTACGTAGGAGTAAATGCTGGATAATCCAGTCATTACATCCTCAGGGACGACCCAATAAGCAGGAGTGAGAGGGATTCGAGTTGCTGGCAGATCTTGTTTTCCCTGTTTAAATCCAAAAGTGCGTATTTTAAATGGTGCCCTGGGCAGTGCTTCTGTCCTAACTTCCTCCTGGAAAGGGTTTTGTTGGGGCTTTAGGTGGTGCCCTGGGCATCATTTGAATTCTAGCTCCTTTGTTTTCCTTCTCGTAATTCTCGTCATACTCCTCATCATATTCCTCATTTTCAAAGTCCTCTTGTGTATATACCTCTTTTTCTGAATCCTCATCCTGGTCATACTCAAAAACAGGAATCTTTCATTTGTAGAGTAGACTCTCATTCACTTTACAAAACCAATGCTCGTTTTCTTGAACTATTGGACCTTGACAAATCCATAACCATGCCATAACTATAGACATCAGATATTTTCCAAGAGTGTTCATGCTTTCTTCAGTACCCTGTAAAAGAAAACATGAAAATATTAATTTTACCTAAGGTGGTTTATGATTATTTTTCCTCTTTTTCCTTTACAGTGTTGTCTGGGCAGATGTTTCCCTTCCACGCTCTGAGTTGTGTGCTGTGAAACCATTTCTTCCCAGACTTTAATTCCAGCTGGTAAGTAGTCTGACTTGCTTTGTTTATAATGGTAACAGGACCAACCCATCTAGGACTGAGTAGATGTTTTTTTTTCTGAATAATACTTGAATAGAACTTGATCACTCACATTCTATTCAATGAATTTAAGGTTATTATTGAGCCTTTGGTCCATCTTCCTACAATTGGCTTTTAGGGTGACAGCTACTGCCCTTTGCACACCAGTGATGACCCTTAGCATGGATTTTATATATTGGTCTGTTATTGCTCTTGGTCGATATTCATCAGGGGGTACCCCTCCTGGCACCCACCATTGTTCCGGCGTTACCATAGGTTGTCCGAATAACAACCCGTGAGGAGTGAAACCGTGGGATCCTATGGTGGATCTCATTGCCATGAGAATTAATGGGAGGTATCAATCCCAGTTTTTGCCTGAGGAATCGATGACTTTCCACAGTGCAGTCTTCAGAGATCTATTTGATCTTTCTACAAGGCCAGATGCTTGAGGGTTGCCTGCTACATGGTATCTTTGATGCACTGCCAGGGCTATACAGAGTTGTTTGGTTATTTCCCCGGTGAAATGAGGACCCTGATCAGAATCGATGACTCTTGGTAGACCAAACTGACTGAATGCATTTTCCAGCAATAACTTGACTGTAGTTTGAGCTGTACAATTACGTGCTGGATAAGCCTCAATCCACTTTGAGAAGGGGTCAATGCACACTAAACAATATTGATTTCCCCTATTTGTTCGAGGTAGGAGGGCAATATAATCATTTGCACCCTTAGCCATGGACCATTCACTGGTTGATAGAGAAGAGGTCCTTTGATGATTTTGGTGTCTGGGTTATTTTGAGCACATCTCAGGCAGTTGTTGATATAATGCTCCATATCTCTTGCAATCTCTGGCCACCAGGGCACAGAAGCCAACTTACATAGTGTTTTCTGGACTCCAAAATGACCCTGTCTATGTGCCAGTTGTATCAGTTCTTGTTGAAGCACAGTTGGGATTACAATCAATGGAATACCACCCTCTGTAGATTCCTGGTCTCCAACCTTGTTTTTAGTTGCCATAATTAAACCAGATGAATGATGTTTAATGGTATAGGATTTGTATTTGCCATCCTTTACTAGCTGCTTAATTTCTGGGTCTTGTGATTGCAATCTTATGATGTCCTGGTGATCAGTGGGGTCTGTTGATGTTAAGGCATCAATGGTTGCTTTTACCTTATCCTATCTGAACTCTGGTCCCAAGCTTGCATCTTGTTTTGTCAGTCAATCCACCTTGCTATTCAGGAGAGTGATTTCTGATTTATTCTTTCGGTGGGCCTTAACCTTAAACAAGAAAGTGTCACCCTCCTGGACTCAGCTAACTGCCATGCATATTTCAGATATCGGGCATAAGCAACTGGCTGGTTATCTGCTGATCTCATTTCTCTTGTTTTCCAAATAACCATCCAATCCAGCAATGCCCTCATTGCCCAATCAGAATCTGTGCAGATGGTAATATCTGTGGAAGATTCAGCATTTTCCAAGGCTACAATGATTGCCACTATTTCTGCAGCCTGGGCTGAGTTGTGTGCGATGGCTCCTTGGAATGCTTTGTCAGATGCAACATGTAAAGCTGCAAACCCTCTGGCTGCTTTTCCATTGATGTACATGCTGCTTCCATCCACAACCCACAGGTCTCGGTTATAAGTTTTAGCTTCTTCAAACACTGATTCTAATTTGAAAGGTGATATGATCTCAGGATTCATATTCTCGGGAAGAGGACACTCATGATTTATCAGGGGCTCTTTTGGTGCAGGAACGCAAAGTGCGAATGGTGCCAGGCTGGGACGTGCAACCTTTTCTACCTGTATTTCTTTGTTGATCAAAGCTAAGGTCCAGTTAGCTAGATAAGGGTGGCTTACTCTTCCAGAGTTGGCTCTCTCAGTCAGCACATACTTCACAGGAGTGTGTGGGGTCTTTAACACTATAGGAGCCATGCCCACTATATACTCCCAATGAGCCAGCGCCCATACAAGAGCCAATACCGCTCGTTCACAGTCAGTGAATTGCTGTTCCACTGCTGATAACACTATGGACCCATATGCTATGGGCTTCAAGGAAGTTCCATGATGTTGCAGTAGGATAGCGGTGATTGCTGTGTTAGTGGTTGCTAGTTAGAGGTGGAAGGGTTTGTTTACCTGCGGGAATGCCAGTGCAGATGCTTCCATTAAGGCTTGCTTCAGCTGTTGTACGGCTCTTTGCTCTTCCTCTACCCACTTCCATAGTTGGCCTTTCCTAAGTAGCTGGTAAAGTGGCTTGCCTTCTCACTATAACCTTCCCTGGAAAAACCAACCAGGCCTAGGAAGGACCTGAGTGTGCCAACATCTGTTGGAGCAGGCAGTTTAGATATTAGCTCTATTCGACTGGTATCAGGTTTCCTCCTGGCAGGGTCCAGTTGCACCCCTAAGTAGACTACTTGTTGTTGAACTAGCTGGGCTTTGGTTGGGTTTACTAGGAACCTGCTGTTTTCAGAATTCCTAGTACTTCATCTAGAGCTTTGATGTTGTCTTGCTTGGTTTTGGTAGCTATCAGTATCATCTACATAACTGACAATGTTGTCACGGTAGGAGGCGGTTCTCCATAATGCTGCTACGATGCAATGACATAAACTCGGAGCATTGTGATACCCTTGGGAAACCCTTGTAAAGGTGACTTGTTGTTCTTCATAAGTGAAGGCAAATTTATAGTAGTAGGAGGGATGGAGTTGTATGGAGAAGAAGGCATTAGAGATGTCTAGGACGCTGTACCAGCACGCACCTTCAGTGATTAAATTCATCACCTCTGGAAATTTAGCAACAACGGGGGCCAACCTGGGTGTCACCTTGTTTAATCCCCTATAGTCCACGGTTAACCTCCAGGAGCTTCCATCAACCTTTCTAACCGGCCAGATAGGAGAGTTTCAGACACTTTGACAAGATATCAGCACTTCTTGATTCAATAATGCCTCTATTGTGGGTCGAATCCCCTCCTTCGCCTCTGCAGAATACCGGTATTGACGTATAGGCTTTGGATCAGGACCTTCTACCTTTATTGAGGCTTGAACCTTTCCGCAAATTAGTTTGTTAGGAGAAAACACCTCCTTGTAACTTGTTGGATTTTTTTGGTAACTTGTTGGATTTCTGTCTCCCATACAGGAAGCTGCAATTCTTCTGGAGCCTTGGCAGCACAGATGCGGTGTGTTGCAGGGATTAGAATACCTGCTTCTACGTGTTCAGCTTGAATCAACATCCTATCAGGTAAGTCAATAGTTATATCCAATTGCTGCAACAGATTTATTCCTAATATGCCTGTACCATCCAGTTTTTGCAGTCCAAATGAGGCCTGTGTAGATAGAGACCCAATATGGCATGTAACTTCATAAGTAAAAGGAATGACATTTTCTTTACCATTATATGAGACCAAAGATTTCAGTTCTCTTACTGGCAAGTTCTTAGCTGTAGGACTTCCTCAGAAAATATTTTTCTGGCCTTTCATCTACACTCTGCTTTTCTGAATATGCCTTGCCCATTACATTATCATGTGGATAAAACAATCAAAATACAAATGAATAGATAGTAGATGGTTCATTATTTGCATCAATTAATACATTATAAGGAACAGTTGCAAAATCATCATTAGACATACATTCCCTTAGTATACATATCACATCATCTTGAGACAAATGTGGTGTAACAGATAATTTGGCTTACCAGTTAAGCACTGTATCTCGGTCACAAGGGCCCACGTGCTTTCCCATGGCTCTAGCCTGCTCTGGTGTAAGAGCTTTACTTCCATGTTTTACCAAGGGGGGTTACCCAGTGTGCCAATGGGCATCCTTTCTGTGCCGCTTCCACCTCCTCCCAGCTTGGAGGTGCAGAGCGTAGCTGCTCTTTCCCACACCAATTTTCTGGTGGATGTTCCTCACACTGACCATTCAGATTGCATGTTTAGTTCCCTCTGAAATTCTACACTGTCTTCTTTAGTCTTAACTAATTTAAATGATTTTATTTTCTGCAAATTATGGCATCTCACTGTTCATTCCCTTTTCTAAAACATTAATTAGTAACAGTAATACAGCATTGCAGCAAATCTACTGAGGAGATAATAAAAATTGCATAGATCATGAGAGAGACAAGAGCCCAGGGGGAGCCTCAGTCCTGACCCATCTGATCTTCCATACCGTCTCTGTAAGGCTAAGGCCTTCGTCTGCAGCCAGATTAAAAGAGCAGCCGAGCAGCAGCCATTAGCTGAGAAGCAGGAAGTCACATCCTCACATTCCATCTACATTACATTAAAACAATGTAATATCAGGCTGTTAAGAAGGAGACCCTGTCCTAATAACACCCACTATCACCAGATAAAGAAACAGATCTTAAGATGGCTAAAGAAAACTTAGTTTGACATCATTCTGTCTGTCAAGAAATCACTAATCAATAGTTGTGAAATCCTCATTTCTTTATTGTTTTGTCATTATGGTCCCCACTTCCCTATTGTTCATCTGTATGGTCTCTGTATGGTTCTTTAATTGTTTCTGTCTGCTACATAATTAATTTTGCTAGGTGTAAATTAATTAAGGTGGTGGGGTAGAATTGATTAGAGAATTTTGTTACACTGTGTTAGGATTGGTTAGATAGATTTCAGTATAATGATTGGTTAAGGTACTGCTAAGCAGGACTCAAGTTTCACTATATAAACTGGGGTCCAAAAGGAAGTTCTCCTCCAGGACACAGCCCCAAAGATCAGAGCTGCCAGACCTCAACACTCTGCCAATGACACTGTGCAGAAACTGGAGTCCCCTAGATGGACCTGATCCTGACTAGCCATCAAGAAAAGTTAATCTGGCTTATTGGGAGTGATGAGCACTGTATGTGTAGCGTGTGCAGTCTGGTTTTGGTGGTTGTTAATAAATAAAGGTTACGTAGTATATTACTGTGCAAGGCTCTTTCACTGGTAAAAGGTCCTCCAAACCTGCAGTAGTAGTATACATCCAGAGCCCTATATACTGGGAAAGGGTGTGGGTACTTAAATTGACCAGGTTAGTTACACCCTGAGCCCTACGAATTGGGTACGGGTAGGTGCTTTTTGCCTGGAGTCCTACCAATTGGGAAAAGGTGGGGGTGCCTAAATTAACCAGGTTACTCCTGGAGCCCTGTGGACTGGGAAAAAGTGGGGTGCCCTAATGTGTGCAGCTAACAGATTTGGTGGAGAATGCCTGGGCAGCCTAAGGTCTTTTGGACTGAACTGATAAGAGTCTAACACAGTAAATAATAACAAAGTACCTGTGCCTTCCTTCAGAAAGGGTCGCTACCTATCTGGCAGAATGAGCACCCCAGAATAGGGTGACCAGACGTCCCGATTTTATCAGGACTGTCCCGATATTTCCTTGTTTGTCCCACGTCCCGACCAACGTTAGGTCGGGACACTGGACAAACAAGCAAATGCTCCAGAGTTCGGAAGTGCTCGCGCCCCCCGCCCCGACTCCGCCCCTTCCTTCCCCCATTGGCTCCCTCCTCGAATCCCCGCCTCTTCCCCTGGCTCGCCATTCCTCCTCCCTCCAGCGCTTGTGGAGGGAGGCCCCGGAGACGCAGGGGGAGCGCGGGGCCGGGGTGAGTGAGAGTCCAGCCTGGCCCCGAGTGCAAGCAGGACTCAGTCGGACGGTAGGGAGAGTAGGGGGGCGGCCCGTGGGGCCAGGCAGCGGCTCTTCTCCCCCCTGGGCAGCGGGACTTGGGAGCAGCCGCTGCTGCAGCTCCCACTGCTGCGGGGGAGGAAACGGCCGATGGCCAAGCTCGGCGGCTGCAGCTCTGGCGCCCCCGAACCTCCCGAGCCTGGGCCTGCTGCGGGGACCCAGCAGCGCGCACGCTGCGCCCAGCCCCTGGCCAGTCGCGTGCCCAGTTGGTGCTATCCCGCGGCGGCCCCGGGGCGGAGGCATCGGCAGCCCAGCCCCATTCGTTCCCCTGCAGGACCCGAGCGGGACGGGGGGGGCTGGGGCCTGCTGCCCCCACTTCGGGGCCGCCGCAGGATTGCACCAGCTGGGCAGCAGCCCAGACACGACTGGCCAGGGGCTGGGTGCAGCGTGTGCGCTGCTGGGTCCCCGCAACAGGCCCAGGCTTGGGGGATTCGGGGGCACCAGAGCTGCAGCCGCCGAGCGCCATGGCCGCTTCCTCCCCCCGCGGCAGTGGGAGCTGCAGCAGCGGCTGCTCCTGAGTCCCGCTGCCTTGGGGGGAGAACAGCCGCCGCCTGGCCCCGTGGGCCACCCCCCTAGTCTCCCTACCGCCCGACTGAGTCCTGCCTGCACTCGGGGCCAGGCCGGACTCTCACTCACCCCGGCCCCGAGCTCCCCCTGCGTCTCCCGGGCCTCCCTCCAGCGCTTGTGGAGAAAGGGGTGTGTGTGTGTGTGGTTTTTTGGGGGTTTTTTTGCCCTGCCCCCTCCCGCCACGCTCCCGCCTCCCCCCCCGCGTCCCGATATTTGACTTGGGTGATCTGGTCACCCTACCCCAGAACAACAAGAGAGAAAAGGAACGAAGAAAAGGGACCAGGAGGGATGGGGCTAGTTGAGGACCCCACCCTCCTTGCTAAATGGTTAGTGGGACAAAGCCTGTGCTCGTGGGAAGGGATGGTTCAGTGAGGAAAGCAGAATCAAGCCCAAGCAAGCAGGCAAGCAACAGATAAAAAGATTGGAAAACAGGTTGGAAGCCCTGAAGGGCATAGTGGCAGGAGTAAAGGGAGGAGTAAGTAGAGGCCTGGAGATTTCAGATCCCTGGGACAATACTTGGAATCCTGATATCTGGGCTGATGGAGGTGTCATTTTGGGAGATAAGCAAGGAAAGAGAGTGAGAAGTTAACTCTGCATTGGCTGTTGGGAATTAAGCAGTTGAACCTTGTAAAAATGTTAACAATAAAAAGTGTTATAGAAAAAGAATTCTTGGTTTCTTTGCAGCCATTCTGAAGGAAAAATGGGCCCTTTTCCAAATGAATGTCTGTAAATAAGCTAGGAAAAGAGACAATCTGATTTAAATCATTTAACTATGAACAACGTAGTCAGATTTGCTAAAAGAACATAAGGGGTTTCTATTGGAACTTAACTGCCCCCAAATGTATACAAATGTAATTTATGTACAGCTGTGAAAAAATTAAAGCAGTGTAAGGGATGTTAAGCAAAAGAGTATGTATGTACCTCTGTGTGTGTGTGTGTGTGTGTGTGTGTGTGTGTGTGTGTGTGTAAGTAAATATATTGTGTAAATATGTGGAGTGATTAGGACCTAAACCCAGGGCCAGCTCTAGGTTTTTTGCCACCCCAAGCTCCGAGAGCGCAACTGCCCAAGCAAAAAAAAAAAAAAAAAAATGGCCGGAATGCTGCCCCTGGAATTGTGCCGCCCCAAGTTTGTAAAACTCTGTTTTGTAGGTTTAAGATAAATTGTTTTTTGTTTTGTTTTTAAATAATACCACTAAAAATCCATTTGAATCTTTCATTCAAAGTTGCAAACCTGACAGACACTTTTTGCCAATCACAGGTAACTAGTGTTGTTTGGCTTTGGTATTTAGCATTTAACCCTTAAGGCACCTCATATGCTTTATAACATTCAAGATCAAAGTTGTGGCTGCAGAAGGGCAGTCAAAACCAGGAGAATGGGAAGAGAATCTGGATTTGTTTTTTGGTAACAAAATAGCAGATAAGAGCTCTAGTAAAAGAATAAGAAATTAAAAAAGACAGTGCCCCTCTGGAGAAACAGCAGGGGTGAGGCACAGAAAAAAGCAATGTTAGAAACACTGAGCCTTAAGGTGGCTCTGAATAATCAGACTATCACTTTGATAAGGTGTAACGAAGCCGGGACACTACTGAGAGTATCAGTTCAGGACAAATTGCTTAGAGCAGGGCAGTCATAGCCGAAGGCTGGGGTTCCTTTATTACTAAGGCACACCAAACCAGCCAAACTGAGATGACTTCGGTTTTACCACACTGGCTAACCAGAAGTCATATAAGCAATTCCCTCAGATACTCCAGTTCCCTTGTATCACCACCAGCACCACTCCTTATGGGGATGAATGGTTATGAAAACCAATACCCCAGTAAAAGAAAAAAGGTTCTCCCAATCCCAAAGGACCAAGCCCCAGACCCATGTCAATATACAAGTCAGATCTTACCCACAAATCACACTGTTGACAATCCTTTAGAATCTAAAATCTAAAGGTTTATTCATAAAAAGAAAGAAACATAGATGAGAGCTAAAATTGGTTAAATGGAATCAAATACATACAA